ATTGAGCCCACGTGCCACAACTACGGACGCCCCCGCGCACCTAGAGCCTGCGCTCTGCAACAAGAGAAGCCACCACAATGAGAAGCCCACACACCACAACAAAGAGTAGCCCCCACTCGCTGCAACTAGAGAAAGCCTGCATGCAGCAACAAAGACCCAACGCAGCCAAAAATTAAGTAATTAATTTTTTTTAAAAAGAGTAAGGAATCAAGGCAGAGGTTTATTTCTCTGTCATATAAAAGAAATCTAGGGTAAGGTGTGGCCATTCAGCATCAGGGACCAGGCTTCTATCTTGTTGCTGTGACATGTTCAATAAGTGTTTTTTTGTCTTAGATCCAAGACAGCTGCTCAAGCTCTAGCCATCATGTCTACATTCCAACCAGCAGGAAGCTGAAAGAGGAAAGGCATGTCTCCTAGCCATAAGGACACATCTTGAAAATAGCACAGGACATTTCCACTTACATTCCACTGGCCAGAATTTAGTCACATAGCCACACCTAACTAGGAATTTGTCTTTATCCTGGGAAGCCATGTACCCATGAAAAGTCAGGGGCAAGTGGATTCTAGGAGATGACTAAATAAGCAGTCTGCCAAATTCCTAGAGCCAGCTGAGTAGCAGGCAAATAGACTTTGCTTTACTGTTTCCCAGGGCTGAGTTTCTACTTCTAGAATACACGCTTTAGGGAAGCTTCCTTCTTGGGGAGGCTTGTGGGGCTTAATTTCTAAAGCTACAGCCCTCACTCAAACTTGACCCATACAATGACTTTATTTTGAAACCTTGATTTCAGTGAGGAAAACTAAACAAACTACTTTCGAGGCTATAAGAAGTTTTCAGTTTTTCAAATCTGGAGACATTTATGTTTGGAAAAACACCTGAAGGTTATGCAAATATAAACCTAAAATCAACATCTGAAAATGGAGATGTTTGAGAAACTGAGGCTAGACTGCTCTGTGAAACCATGCAAAAGATGGTTTATTCTGCAGACAGAGTTGCATCTTTACAGATAAGTTTCATTAGAGAAACTGTTTCAAGTGTGACAGTAAACTCCTATTTGTTCTTATCAAGTCTATTTGGACAGAAGAGTAGATCACAAAAGATCAGGGGTTGAAACCCTCAAACACACAGAAATCTTTTTACACTGGAGGAAGACCTGAGAAAAAGAAACCAGGTGGGCAGAAGGAAAGATCATCTTGGGATGTAACACAGAAGCCTACACCTTGGTGTTAAAAACTCAATAACTCATTATTATGTTGATTGTTGATTATTGTATTCTGATAGGATTCTTCTAGAGGAGTCACCCCCCTTGAAGGTAAGAGGATGCTTCCCCTGAAGTAGGATGACCAACTGTCCCAGATTGCTAAGGACTAAAGGGTTTCCCAGGACACAGCACTTTCCGTGCTAAAACTGCGACAATTGAGGGCAAACCGGGAGAGTTAGTCACCCTAAGAATAAATATAGCCACTGTCAATCACGTAGAAAGAATATGGAAAGACTAAACCAGGGGACTTCCCTGGTGGTGCAACGGTTAAGAATCCGCCTGCCAATGCAGGGGACACGGGTTTGAGCCCTGGTCTGGGAAGATTCCACATGCCGTAGAGCAACTAAGCCCGTGTGCCACAACTACTGAAGCCTGCGCGCCTAGAGCCCATGCTCCACAAGAGAAGCCACCACAGTGAGAAGCCCGCGCACCACGACGAAGAGTAGCCCCCGCTCACCACAACTAGGGAAAGTCTGAACACAGCAACGAAGACCCAAAGCAGCCAAAAATAAAAATATATTAATTAATTAATTAATTTTTTAAAAATGACTAAACCAGTAATGAGGATTGGGACTTACTGACCTGGGGGAATTGCCTGTGATAAAGGGTGAAGGGAGGGGAAAGGAGAGAATGGGAGGAGACTGTTCCTTATCTTGCTCTGGGCTCTGAGAAACCTACGACATTGGGTGGTAGGAATCAGGCCTAAACCTAAGATGAGATTCTGTAGCAGTACCATGAGTCATCTTATTACGAAGTCCAGGAAGAGGAGTTAGGCCTTGAGCAGCCAAAACGATGAGCCGCTTGTAGGTTTTGCGTTGCAATTCTATTGCTCTTTGGTAGTCTGCTCTCATGGCACTGTGGGATAATGTACACACTTTGGGTTTGACGGTAAAGGTAGAAGCTGTGTAGTGATGTAGGAGCAGCCCAGGGAAGAGGAGAGATCCCAGAACAGCAGGTAACCATTCACAGAACCATAACAGGCTTTTCCTTCTCTGGAATTATTTATATAGGATAAATTTCTAGTGGTGGAATTTATCAATGGATTGAAATGTATGAACATTTTAAGACTCTAGAATGGCATGGAAATCAGCCCTTCTATAAAGACAGCTGTATATGTAAGGGTTAGAAAAAGTCTCAACAGACTGAAACTGAATGTTTTGCTGGGCAAACATGGAGACTCCTTTCCAAAAGACTTTTTGAAGTTTACCAGCCTGTGATTTCAAGGTCTACTTTTCTTGTTCTTGTTTAATTTCAAGAGATCTCATACCTCCTATTTGATTATCACGAAGTAGGGTCTTAGATGGTAGTCACATTAAAAAAAGAAAAGCCTGTGAATTTTATGTGGTTAGGTTCCTGGGGTGTCTCCAGCCTTCAACTAGTATTTTTTCTTCCTTCCTGCATTGCCATTTTAACTTAATTCTGAGTCCGTTATCTCTTATACCCACAATTTTGTAAAATCTGGGTGGGATCTAGGGAGCAAAAGGGACCTGAGGATATATGCATGCACAGTGGTTAAAACTCCAATTTCTTATTTTCTTGATCTCTTCTTAACTTCCCCTACACTGTCAGGGAAATCAACTGTTAAGCTCAGTTCTTGAGTTTCCAGTTTATTATTTCAGGTAGGGATACAATTGTAGTATGTCTATTATCTATATAGCCTCTATTTTATTCCTCCCTATCTCTTATACTTTTTCATATATGATCCCATTAAAATTGTGTCTTGTTTCTTTGTCCCTAAATTAGATTAACTTGCTATAGATCCTTTACAGTCCAAGAAAGGAGCTCCATCTCTGTTTAGTTCATTTTAAACTAAGAATATGTTTATGGTCCCTCTTTTGTATAATTTGGAATTAGTAAACCACTGATAACCCAATATTGTAGTTTTCCCTTAATATATCCTGGGACTTTTGCTGTCTTGGAACAGCTAAGGGCAAATCTGGAGAACTTCTATGCTGGCCAGATGGAATCATCTACGGGAAGATGAGGCTTATATAAGACAGGTGAAATCCTTGACTTTGTCCCAACGCTATACCAGGAAGATACTATAAATCCACAATAAGGACCTCAAGAGAAGACTTCTCAGGCACCTATAAAAAGCCCCTATAAGCAAACCCTTGGCAATTTGGAAATACAGATCGTGATCCCTCCCCTAGGTTATTCTGAGGAAAGTGTAACTGGACTGAAAAAAAATCCTGGCCTATAAAAATCCAGGTCGAAAGGAGATTAAAGGAATAGATTTTAACAGTTACTCTGTGGAATTATTAGGAAATAAAATGCTCCCAGGGAAAAACACTTCCAGCCAATGTTCAGTCTGTTCAGCACTTAGAAATTATCTTTGGTGTGCAAGTAATAGGCTTGAAATTGCTAATGAATTCTCCCCCAGACTGCCCCTCCCACTGAGGCTTCATGTCACCATCTAATGAGTTAAGTTGTGAAAACCCCAATTTTCCTTTAATGTGGTTTTCTAAAGCTAAAATGCTAGGCACTTTCCAAGATTACACTCCACCTTGCCTCTTAAGATGCACGGGTGGCAGTATGCCTTTCCTCATGCAATACTCATAATAGAACCAAAACTTTAGAGGGAAAAATACCCATCAGGAAACTTGGAAAGACTGTGAGAGTTAAAATATTGCCTTATCAGGGAGACAAAGCAAGCTTGGGTCACAGGTTAAACTTTACAAAGAAAGAAACATAACAGGGCACCTCTATTGCATAACAAATAGAACAAAAGTTTCCAGTCACCCCTTCATTGTCCACTCCCATCTCAGCAATATCACTGTACTTGTTAAGCTCAACCTCCTGCCAAATGGACCCACTCCTTACAGAGTAGGATGATGATGGAAAATAGCATTTGGAGTAGAAATAAACAGCAGATAATAATCCATAATTGTTTTTAATCTTGTGGATGAGTCACCTTCAATTTATTTCCACATTTCTTTGGTCATCAGCTGTTCATTTCTTTACTTTGAAAATCACCAGATTAACACTGCCAAAGACAGGTAGGAAATGATCCATGAGGACAATTCAGAGGGATCACACGGGTGAGTGGCTGAGAAACTGGGAACAAAACAATCCTCAGGAAAGTCTCTATTTTGTCCCAGCAAAGGCACCAATGTGTGAACCTAATTCACACTTTCATTATTCCAATCAGGTTATTTTTATATCAGTATAATTTTAGAATAAGACTTGGTGGAGGATTATTTATTTCCTGAGAAATTCTGTCCATCACTTTGCACAGAAGATATTCAAGTAGGTCTAACTCCAAAATTCATTTCATACCAATAAATTATATTCCTTTTACTTCTCCTTTTTTTTTTTTTTTTTTTGCAGTACGCGGGCCTCTCACTGCTGTGGCCTCTCCCGTTGCGGAGCACAGGTTCTGGAGGTGCAGGCTCAGCGGCCATGGATCACGGGCCTAGCAGCTCTGCGGCACGTGGGATCTTCCCGGACTAGGGCTCGAACCCGTGTCCCCTGCATCGGCAGGCAGACTCTCAACCACTGCGCCACCAGGGAAGCCCTTACCTCTCCTTTTTAATACATGTCTTCTGTATCCCCTAAACTTTCTTTCTGAACAAGGAATTTCAAAGCAGAATGGCCCAAAAGACATCCTAACATCATGATCATAAGAAATGTGATCTATTTAGATGTGGACTGTCTAAACCTGGGTGAATTTCCTTTGCCCATCAATCTATCAGGGTCTTTAGATCCCCTGTAAAGTGTAAGCTTGCTATTTTGTCTCTATTTGACTTGTCTTCTTTAAGCTGATTGAATTCTTAAACCCATTTAGCCTTTAGCTCCTACTCAGGGTTGGAAGTAAGAGATTGGAGTCCAGATGTTCTCCCTGGGAACTAGGTCCAAGTCACAGCTCAGTTATTACAGACAGAATTAAGATGGAGGTTTTGGACTGTCCTTAACCTCCTCTTAAAAACACAAAGCTGAAAAATCACATTAGTAGCCGTTTATTGATGTCAGAAGACCATTTCCCAACTGAAATTTACTCTTCACACTTGCCTCAGATTATGCCTATATAGGTAGTAAAGTAGAAAAGCTAAAATGCCATCCAAATATTTCAGGACAAATATTGTTTTCTTTTGAAATCTCTAGATAACTGCTTTGATTTTGTAAGCACGATATAAACGTCTGCAACCAAGGAACTTTCAAATGAGTGAGTGGTGCTAACCTGGTGTTCAATGGATAGTAGAGAACTGTTGTCTCGGAGGTTTTGGTTTAGTTAATAAACTTGCAAATAAATCGAGATATTCTGGCCTAGCCTCAACCTTTCTAAAACACGCAGATTAAATGTCAGTTTGTGACAAGTGTCCACACGCTCAGTTATGCTAGATGATGGAACTGTGTAGGGGGTGGTGAGAGGGAAAGTTTGTCACAGCTCCTTCTGGAAAGCCTCCCCGCTCCCCACCTTCCACATTAGCTGAAGTGAGTGAGCATCAACTCCTGACGGATACGGTCAGCCTCTAGGTCCAAGGACTCCATGTGCTCATACTCTTCCTCAGGAGGCTGTTCCACGGGTCCTGTCCCTGGAGAGGACCAGACATCCAACCCATGCTCCAGGGAGATGTTGTGGAGGACGCAGCAGGCCAAGATGATGTGGCTGGACTTCTCCGGTGAGTACTGCAGTGCCCCCTTGGATCCATCCAGGCAGCGGAATCGGGAGCAGAGGGTTCGGAAAGTCTTCTCAATCACACTGTGAGTTGCAGAATGGGCCATATTATAGCGATATTCGGCTGGAGTTTCGGGAATGTGAAGTGGGGTCATAAGCCAGGTGCGGAGAAAGAAGGAACTGTCACCTGTGGGGAAGGCCCAAAGACATCACAGATGTTTATAACTGGAATACAAACAAAAAGGAAAATCCAGGAGCATGTACAGAGAATGGACAAGAAAATGCAACAGCTTCCGGAGCCAAAGCACACCAGGGAAGTGAAGAGGGAAATGCTGTGATAAAGAGCCCATAGCTAGTCACGAGCAGGAAGACCAGAGTGAGTCTTGGCTGGGAATACCCTTGGTTAAAACCAACAGAGAAAAGCTGACCCGGCTAAAGAAAGCTAAGTCTGAAAGAATGTAGGACAGAGGTGAAGGCACTGGAGGAAATGAAATTTCTGGATTTTCTTTTTTTGGCCGCAATGCACTGCTTGTGGGATCCTAGTTCCCTGACCAGGGATCGAACCCGGGCTCCCGGCAGTGGAAGCGCGGAGTCCCAACCACTGGACCTCCAGGGAATTCCAGGATTTTCTGAATTCAGAGATATTGTTCTTTAAGAAAAAGTTAATATGGCTTCCTTGGTGGCACAGGTGGTTAAGAATCCGCCTGCCAATGCAGGCGACAAGGGTTCAAGCCCTGGTCCGGGAAGTTCCCACACACCACGGAGCAACGAAGCCCGTGTGCCACAACTACTGAGCCTGCACTCTAGAGCCCGCGAGCCACAACTATGGACGCCCGCGTGCCTAGAGCCTGTGCTCCGCAACAAGAGAAGCCACCGCAATGAGAAGCCCACGCACCGCAATGAAGAGTAGCCCCCGCTCACCGCAACTAGAGAAAGCACGCATGCAGCAAGGAAGACCCAATGCAGCCAAAACTAAATAAAATAAATTTAAAATAAAAAAGGTTAATAGAAACTATCACATAGCAAGCCAATCTTCAAAATCTCTAAAGAGCAAGAGTGCAAGAGAGAAAAAGAGAATTCTGCCAGGGGACCTCAAAACACTTGTGAGGAAAAATCTCTGACTTTACCATTAAAATGTCAGGTTTGAAAGCACTACCTAGGGATTTCAGAGCATTTCATAGACAATAATCATTCAATCTCCCAGTGCTAAGAAGAATAAGAGAAAACTCCCAGCAGAGATGAGAACTCAGGTGTTCTGCCTTCCTAGATATTACATTCATTAGAACCACGCCTTTGTAATAGAGGAACAGGTAGAATTTCACATTAACAAGGAGACCATAAATATAATGATGCAAGTAGTAATAGGGATAAAGAAATAAAAGCAGAAGTCAATTAAAATAATATACACAAGGCATTTCCCTTAAGTGACTTCTTTATGGAATAATCCTGGGAAGTGCTAAAACCAAAACAAAACTGGGGTGCAATGTCCCATTACAATAGTGCAATGTTTCTATAATGTTTAATTGTCCTGATTCACTAAATCTGGAAGATGAAATGTCTCAGAGGAACAACCCCTTAGAAATTTGAGACAAATAGACCTGAAGAATACCAACTTGTATAGTTGCTGTGTTCCTCACCCACCATCAATTTCAGTAAACAGTTATGGATTGTTCAGAGAGTGCTAGGCACTGTTCCAAACATATAGCACTCCTTTCTTTTAGGAGCTTACATTTCTTTTTTTTCTTTTTGGCCACACCATGCGGCTTCTGGGGTCTTGGTTCCCTGACCAGGGATTGAATCCCGGCCTGTGGCAGTGAAAGAGCCAAGTATTAACTACTGGTTTGCCAGGGAATTCCCCATGGGTTAACTTTATTTTATTTTATTTTTAAAATAAATTTATTTATTTATTTATTTTTGGCTGCTACTCTTCGTTGCGGTGCATGGGCTTCTCACTGCAGTGGCTTCTCTTGTTGTGGAGCACATGCTCTAGGCATGCAGGCTTCAGTAGTTGTGGCAAGTGGGCTCAGTAGTTGTGGTACATGGGCTTAGTTGCTCCGCAGCATGTGGGATCTTCCCAGACCAGGGCTCGAACCTGTGTCCCCTGTGTCGGCAGGCGGATCCTTAACCACTGTGCCACCAAGGAAGTCCCAACTTTATTTTGAATGATATTGACATATAACACTGTATTAGTTTTAGGTATACTGGATTAACTTTAAATATCTGAGATGGCTCACAAAATTTTCAAATTGTATATTTAGCTGACTTTTTTCCTCCTAAGTACAACCTATTTTAATTGAACTCGTCCCTACTAAATACTGAATTTTAGAAACTGATGTTGTAAATAATAATGAAAATAATATCTATGACTTGTCCAATCCCAACTCCACTAGGCAGATACTACTGACCTTATTTTACAAGTGAGAAAATAAAAATAAACGTCACCCATCCTTTGATATGTTAGGCACAGGAAGAGGAAGGAGCTAGTCACTAAATGCTAATAATGTCAGACTCAAAGTCACTAAAACAATGGTATAATGCTGTAAAAGAGAGTAAGAAAAACATTTAAGATGACTAGCAAAACAGATACTAGATATTTGTTAAACGTCTCTTAAGAAACAGTATGAGCCTTAATTGGGAAGACATACAAGACAAGCTAGTTAATGTAGACCTCTTATAAAATGCTGCATCATCATTAACTGGTTATAATCCAAGCACCACTGGCAGACAGACACTCAGGAGGGGATTAGGAACAGAATTCCTAAACAGACTACAATTGCTTACATGATCAGTCATCCAAGAGACATTCTGGCAGATCTTACCCAAAGCTGCTTAACAAGACTAGCCCAAGAGCTGAAGAAATAACTCAGGCTGAATTGTTTGTAGGAGCAGGTACATTTAGAGAAGAGGAATTAGGTGATGCCCTCTGAAGGGGCATACGAGAATGAGGACATGAAGGGATGACACCCAAGATGAAAATATGCTAAACAAACAAACCCAAAAAAACAAGGGGGAATCACAGCTAGTTCTAGGTTTGGCAAATCTAGTACCATTCTACAAATCTGATGGTGTTCTTAAGATAAAATCAACCATCTTTTTTTTTTTCTTTTTTTGTTTTGGCTGCGTTGGATTTTCATTACTGCGCGCAAGCTTTCTCTATTTGCGGCAAGCGGGAGCTACTCTTCGTTGCAGTACGGGGGCTTCTCATTGCAGTGGCTTCTCTTTGCAGAGCATGGGCTCTAGGTGTGTAGGCTTCAGTAGTTGCAGCATGCAGGCTTGGTAGTTGTGGCTCGCGGGCTTTAGAGTGCAGGCTCAGTAGTTGTGGCATACGGGTTTAGTTGCTCCATGGCATGTGGGATCTTCCCGGACCCGGTCTAGAACCTGTGTCTCCTGCATTGGCAAGCGGATTTTTAACCACTGCGCCACCAGGGAAGTCCCCTTAGCTGGCTTTAGAGTTAGGGTACCAAAGTGATTTCATAAGAAATCAGCTTGGAACCCAAGTACTTCCCCAGCTGTGGAAGAAGTAGTTGGATGAGACACTTGCAGTCTTCCCTTCACTTCTTGGTGTGAGTTGTAAGAAAATGGAATTTGAAAATTCAGAGTAGGCAAAAGGTGGGATTAAGACAAAGTTCCACTAGGGTAACGAGAAGGTGGGGCACTGACAACAGTGTGTAGAAGCAACAACTGGGGGCTTCCCTGGTGGTGCAATGGTTGAGAGTCCGCCTGCCGATGCAGGGGACATGGGTTCGTGCCCCGGTCCGGGAAGATCCCACATGCCGTGGAGCGGCTGGGCCCGTGAGCCATGGCCGCTGAGTCTGTGCGTCCAGAGCCTGTGCTCCGCAACGGGAGAGGCCACAACAGTCAGAGGCCGGCGTACCGCAAAAAAAAAAAAAAAAGAAGCAACAACTGAAGAAAATCAGTTAAGTTCCAAGATGTTACTCATGGTACCCTGGCAGCTCTAAACCAATCAGTGTGACAGCAGTCTCTTCTCCTCACCTGGAACAGTGGGCAGGGGTGGGAGGGTTCTTTTTTTTTGGCTGCCCCGTGTGGCGTGTGGGATCTTAGTTCCCCGACTAGGGATCAAACCTGTGGCCCCTGCAGTGGAAGCGTGCAGTTTTAACCACTGGACCGCCAAGGAAGTCCCAAGGGGAGGTTTTTCTTTAACTGACAATCAGCACATTAAAGAGAAAAATTCCTGAGTGTTTATTACAAGTAAAACACTGTGCTATGAACATGTGCAGTGCAGACATGATTAGTGGCCTTAAAGAGAGGTCTTCCAATCCTTAATGTGCCTTCATCTCCCACAAAACATGTTGTGTACAAGATAACCCTTGTCCTATTACTTACATAGAATGGTTCTTTTTTTTAAAAAAAAAAAGACAACAAAAAAGCTGCCAGGCTCGAGGGTTTTATCACTGTTAACTAACTGTATTCCTCCCAGCTCTACAGTCACATCAGTTTGCACTGCTCAGTACTGAATAGGTTTTTGTCCTACTCAGATCATTAAGCCAGGCTTTCCGAGGGCACTCAGGCAAACAGATCTATGAAGTGAGTTTCCATAAGAACTGAATAAATGCACTGTCTACTATCATTTTCATACAGATATCATGGTGTCAATCACCAATGGCAAAAATAATACATTTTCACAATACTTTAGAGTGAACTTTCATATATATTCCCTAATCCTAACAATAGGTATTACTGCCCTTAGCATTATTTTCACCATTTTACAGATGATAAAAATTAAGGCTCAATTGTATGGATGTACTATATTTAACCAGATCTGCATTGATAAGTATCTTGGCTATATTTAAGGGGAATGCTTTTGTAGGGTTGTCGTTGCTATTGTTGTTTGTGAGTACAAAACATTGCTGCGATGCAAATGCCTGTAATTTTGTTTTACATATTTCTGAACATGTACCTCCAAGAAGAGCTGGGTCAAATTGTATGTTTTTAAATGTTAACAAGTGTCCTTTAAATGTTGATTTAAAAAAATTAAGGCTGGGGTGGTCCAGTGGTTAAGATTCTACCTTCTAATGCAGAGGGTGCAGGTTACATCCCTGGTCAGGGAGCTAAGATCTCACATGCCTAGAGGCCAAAAACCCAAAACATGAAACAGAGGCAATACTGTAACAAATTCAATAAAGACTTAAAAAAAAAAAAAAAGACATTACTTCTGTTTCAGTCCTGCTTAAAAAAAAAAAAATTAAGGCTCAGAGAGTTCTCATCTGAGGTCGTGCTTAAAACAGAACAGGACTGAGTCTCAGGTTTATAGACCCCTATATTTCATTCTACTCTGCCCAAACTTTTTTTTTATAGTTTCAAAAATGAAGCATTTACACCTGCAGACTTACCAAGCAGCCAGCTCTCTTTGTGCATCCCAGCTTCGAACTGACTGCTGAGAGAAGACTGCTGCAGCACAGCACAGTCCTGGAGGCTCCCCGGCCAGTTTGTTTCCACAGTCATCAGTGCCCCTCTGATGTCACACACCATGAGGCAGTTTAAAGAATGAAGACCTTTGCGGTTCACATAGGAAAGGTCTTCAGCATTTGGTGCCTTGATTGCCACATGGATACAGTCAACCACCCCTATGACCCCTGGCATCCCTGCCAACCCATAGAATTCATCCTTCAGAGCCTGCACGGAGGCTTCATCAGCTGGAAAGCGGATGAACTGCGAAGCTCTTTCCACAAGCGCTTCGGTGACATTGGCAACACATCGACTCATAGATGCCTGACTGATTCCAATAGCATCCCCCATCCGAGTCTGGAAGGAACCTGAGGTATAGAAGCCCAGTGCTGCAAGGATCTGTGTCTCTGGGCTAATAGCCCTGGATCTCTGAGTAGGTCTAGAAAGACTGGCCCCCAAGAGCTCCACCAAGTAATAAATGAACTGTCGAGGAAACCCATACATGGACATCAAGTATTCATCTGTCACATCATCCAGCTTAAAGCGGTCCAATGTGCGGTGACCTCGGCCATATAGCAAGAGATCACAGTCAAGTACTGTTATTGGTATAGCCATGGTACATGTAACTGTTGTCTCTCCTTCCCTCTGCTACTCTTCCTGAACTCTTCCCACTGAAGATGTTGGTGCAAGAAGGTATTTAAGGAAGTGTCAGAATTCAACAGCTAACCATCATTTAAATGGCTCTGGCATTTATAATCTTCTCTCTGTAAAGGTTAAAGAAAAAAACGAAAAACATTAGAAACCTACCAAAGACTTTAAAGTGATTCAGGGGCTTCCCTGGCGGTCCAGTGGTTAAGACTTCGCCTTCCAAGGCAGGGGGTGCGGGTTTGATCCCTGGTGGAGGAGCTAAGAGCCGACATGCCTTGCGGCCAAAAAACCAAAAACATAAAAAAACAAAAACAAAAAATACCAGAAGCAGTATTGTAACAAATTCAATAAAGACCTTAAAAATCATCCACATCAGGGCTTCCCTGGTGGCGCAGTGGTTGAGGGTCCACCTGCAGATGCAGGGGACGCGGGTTTGTGCCCCGGTCCGGGAAGATCCCTCATATGGCGGAGCGGCTGGGCCCGTGAGCCATGGCCGCTGAGCCTGCGCGTCCGGAGCCTGTGCTCCGCAGCGGGAGAGGCCACAACAGTGAGAGGCCCGCGTACAAAAAAAAAAAAAAAAAGGTGCTATAACTGTAACTCGGTTTTTCGCCACTAACTCATGGCAATACAACAGGCTTGCTTTGGTATGAAGGAGAATGGGAGCTGAATTTTGGTGGCTCATTTAATGCCTGGCATTTGCATTGGGAAGAACAAAAGATTAATGGAGGTGATGGCATAATTATCCACAAAGTAAAAGAGGTCTGCTCCTAACTATACAGGCCACGAAGCAACTGACGTAAGTCATAGCTACCCAGGACAGGGATTAGTCACGGCAGGATTCATTACCCAAAGCCCTCTGGCTCCACCTGATAAGTAAGGGGTAAGAGATGGGGGTGGGGAGGGGGGAGTGTCGTTGTTCAAACTAGTCTAACAAGGGAAGAAGGGGCAAAAAACCGCCCACGACCCAGGCTGGTAGACGGGAGATTCTGTGTTGTAACAAAAGCCTTTCCCCTCACCCCAAGAAATCCAAATCGTGAGGCTGAGGTAAAGGAAGTAGGGAAGACCAGATAGGTTGGAAGGAAGGCGCAAAAGAAGAGGCTGGGAGAGCTCCACCTCTAAGGCTTTTAAAAAGATGTCTTAGAAATGAATACGGAAGTGTGATTGCCCCGGCCACTCAAAGTCAGCCGAGGCCGCTCACCCACCTCTCGGCGGCTGCCAGATTACCAGCCGCACTTCCCACCCACCCAGCCGGGTCCGGCCCTCCTCCGGAACCGGCGGCCGAGCACAAGCCGCCACGGCGCTCTCTGTAGGCACCGCCCTCTCGCGTCACCGCCCGCCCCAAGCCGTGTCCTCACTGCCGCTGCCGCCGCAACCTGCGATTCGCCGGCGCACATTCCACACACGGCCCAAAGGTTCACGCTCTTTCAAAGACCGCCTCTTTACGCCTTTGTTTTCTGAGACGCTTGAAGAGATTGGTGAATCAGACTTACATGGTAAGGAAACCAGTTTTTATGGGAACGTCAAACAGGAAAGAGATTAAGTAGGTCATCCATACTGTGCCGAAAGGGCGGCTGAGGTTAGATAGCTGTATTTCCCCCATAGCCCTCTTCCTCCCACCGCCGTCACCGAAGCGGATGAAAACAAACAGTAACGATGGCGGCGCCGGGAAGCGGCCGGCTGCTGGGCTGAAGGCAGGAGTGATCACTTGAGCTGTGAGGGAAGCCCTGAAGAGCGCCTGTAGACGTGAGTGCGACAACTCGCGCAGTCTTGGGAACGAAACTCCCGGGGCCTGCGAGCCACGAGGCTCCTGAGGCGTGAGGTATTATCTGCGACCCGTGCTGTCAGTGCAGCTCCGGAGCGCGGAGCTCTCAGCCAGGAGGCGCAGCTGGCCGGCCCCAGGCCCCGGCCTCCGTAATGAGAGCCCCGAGCCACTCTCTGTGTCGCAGCTTCACAGGTACTAACTTTAGGGGGGATACCCCCGGATCTCTCAGCGCCCCCGGGTGGGAGGCTGTGGACCTGCGGCCTGCGGCCTGTCGGGTACGTCCTGGCGAAGCCGAAGCCTATTAGCTGTAGGTCAGTCCCCTAAGCTTTCTTTGGGAAGTCGGGTTACTGTAGGCTTCATTGGCCCTTGATCATTCCCAGTCCTTACAGAGATGCCCAGAGCTTTCGACTCTGCTTTCTCAGCTCTTTGGGTTAAAGGCATTTTGGAAGGAATTTGTGGGCCCATAACTCTGTGGTTGGGTACCAGTATGAATGAGATAGGTTTTCATTCAATCAAGATTTGTTGAGTGCCAAATATGTACTCCGCGTGTAGGTGAGGGTGACTGTTGACTAGTGCAAAAAGGGACCCAAGGTTCACGACTCTCTTACTGGCAGTGGAATGACCTGTGGAAACCTGCGATCCATTCTCATTAAGTAAATCTCTGGGTAAGTGGCTAAGCACCTTCTTGGATTCATCACTAACTCATCTCAGTTTTCACTTTCTCACTCAGTTATTTACCAAGTTTTTCTGGTCAATTCAGTGGAGCGTTTCACTTTTAGTATTCCTTCCTCTGGCCATCCCACAGCCAGAGAGAGAGGGGTGGAGGGCGGGGGAATGGATGTGAATGAACGAATATTTAAAGAACAAAAGTGCCTATTTTTTCATTACACTTACTTTAAAAGTCATCTCCTAAGGTGGTATAATTTATTGAACACCTTCAATGGGAGATGTGCAATAATAAGAAACAACAGGTCCTTTCTTTACACTAAATTAATTCCAGGTTATTGTGTGTTGTTTTATGTGTTAGTCCTTTCATGTGTGGCTATCATGGCTCCAATTAAATTATATGTTTTTGTTTGTTTCTTTCAACTCCATTTTTCAGCCGAGCAGAAGTCTTGCAAGTGCTTGTGGAAGGGAATCCTGAGTTAATATTTTTCATACCCAGGGGATGATGAATAAGTGATGAAGCAAAGGTCGTATGTATTGACCTGTGTAGTAAAATGCATGTAGTGCATTTTCAAATTGTACCCCTTTGGGTCAGAAGTTAAGACGGCTATGGCAACTTTTGAGATTTACATTTCATACAAATTGCTATTTCTTTACTTACACCTAACAGTTCTTATTATTTGTATTTTTTTTCCCTCAAGTGGAAACTGCAGATCAAAAACTGCAGATCTTCAGCTACTAAATACTCCAAATTATATTGTTTTATTTAAGGACTAAAAATCAGCTGGACACAATTCAGTCCGGCCATATACGCGTACTGGAATTGTACCGTATGGAGGTGGGGGCAAGAAATCTCCTTTTTTCCATTGTCTTTCCTGCTTGCATCCACCCAGCTGCATCAGCTTATGACCTCCATGACTCAGAGCAGGGTGTCCATAGCCTAAATGCAAAAAGAAGCCTAAGACATTAACATTGAGCTTCCAAAGACATGAGTCCTACTACATGAGTGAGTTTTCAAAGATAATTTTGACTAACCAGAAAGTGCAACCACTATAGAACTTATTGCTGTCACTTGATAAGGTTCATTACCAAAGCTCTGCAATTACATTTTGTTCCATTGGGAGTGGAAGTTATTTATTTTGGAATTTTTATCTGGAGGGAACTTATTTAATCTTAGTAATGCTTGGAAATCCCTAAAACTTTTACTTTTAAACACTTTTTACATTATTATAGAAGAGATGAAAATAACACTGTGGTTGGAGCACTGCATTCCTCACTCTATGACCCTTTATTATTCAAATTAAGTTTTTTGGGTTTTGGTTTTTTAAAATTATTTTTTTGGTACGCGGGCCCCTCACTGTTGTGGCCTCTCCCGTTGCGGAGCACAGGCTCCGGACGCGCAGGCTCAGCGGCCATGGCTCACGAGCCCAGCTGCTCTGTGGCATGTGGGATCTTCCTGGACCAGGGCACGAACCCGTGTCCCCTGCATCGGCAGGCGGACTCTCAACCACTGCGCCACCAGGGAAGCCCTGTTTTTATTTATTTAAAAAAATATTTATTTATGGGACTTCCCTGGTGACGCAGTGGTTAAGAATTCGCCTGCCAATGCAGGGGACATGGGTTTGATCCCTGGTCCGGGAAGATCCCACATGCCGTGGAGCAACTAAGCCCATGTGTCACAACTAGTGAGCCTGTGCTCTAGAGCCCATGAGCCACAACTACTGAGCCTGCATGCTGCAACTACTGAAGCCCGCGTGCCTAGAGCCCATGCTCCACAACAAGAGAAGCCACTGCAGTGAGAAGCCCGCGCACCGCAATGAAGAGTAGCTCCCGCTCACCACAACAATAGATAGACCACGCGCAGCAACAAAGACCCAACACAGCCAAAAATGAATATTAAAAATTAAAAAAAATTGTATTTATTTGGCTGCACTGGGTATTAGCTGCAGCACGCAGGATCTTCATTGCCGCCTGCAGGATCTTTAGTTGCAGCATGCACGATCTAGTTCCCTGACCAGGGATCGAACCCAGGCCCCCTGCATTGGGAGCGAGGAATCTTAACCACTGGACCACCAGGGAAGTCCCTGGTTTTATTTTTTAATGGAAGAAAAGTATAGAAACTCACTGAGTAAGAAATGCAGGCTATTCAGCTAATATTTGAACTACTGTATTGCTTAAGATTTTTTTGGCTTGTATGTTGACTTTAGAGTCTTAAAATATGTATACTTTACTAAAAGTTTATTCTTGGAAAAAGCTTGCCTAAACTTTATATGTGGATAATTTAGAAGTAATTTCCAACTTGGGGTGTCGAGTAAAATAAATTTCCATAGGGCCTCATTTTTTCATGCATGGATTTAATAGAAGAGAGGGTGCACGGGGTTACTGGTCCTTGCCTCCTCTTTGTCAAATTGTGGAGAGCAGTAAAAACTGCAGGTAGGTCTTCCCTGGTGGCGCAGTGGTTGGGAGTCCGCCTGCCGGTGCAGGGGGCGGGGGTTCGTGCCCCGGTCCGGGAGGATCCCACGTGCCGCGGAGCGGCTGGGCCCGCGGGCCGTGGCCGCTGGGCCTGTGCGTCTGGAGCCTGTACTCCGCAACGGGAGGGGCCGCAGCAGCGAGAGGCCCGCGCGTACAGCAAAAAAAAAAAAAAAACCAAAAAACTGCAGGTAGTCCCTGACAGGATAAAGGCAGTGTATGCAAAGGGAGAATGCAGAGGAGGCTAACTAGACCTCTATGACCAAGGGGAAAAAGAAACTTTTCTTGGGAATTCCTCAAAGTCCAGTGGTTAAGACTCCACGCTTCCACCGCAGAGGGTCACGGGTTTGATCCCTGGTCAGGGAACTATGATCCTGCATGCCAAGTGGTGCACGCCCCACCCCTCACCAAAAAAAAAAAAACCAACAACTTGAAGTTTGGGTTTTAAATCTTAAAACGATTTAAAATCCTTAAAGGGATGTAAAATTAGTTTTGAATCTTTAAAAAGATTTTAAATCCCTTAAGAGGATGTAAAATTAATTTTAAATAATTGTTTTTAACTGTAGAGTAAATGTGAGCCAGTTTGTTAGAGAAAGCCTCTAAATACCAGTATAGGTGGCACAAGAAATTTGCTTTTGCCCTGGTGGTGTCCCCCATATGCCCTTGGTTACAAGAGAAGGGAGAAGATTGTGAGTCACCACTACATAGAAAAACAACTCAACATGCACAGTCTGTCAACAGTATCTTAGTAAAAATAAAGGTAAATAAAGAATGTATAGAAGTGATAACCCAGTATTCTTATTTTGGAAAATACAGTTTTCACTCTTGACTTTTGATTCATACAAATATGAAAGAAATAGAGTTAAAAATCATATTATTCTTTCCAGGGTGGTTTGTCGCCACCCTCACCTTCCTCCTGTATTGCCCAGAGCTATTATGTCATTAGGAGAGATTATGTAGAGAAATACTTGTGGAGGTTTAAATGCCCTGTTTTAAATATAAGCTTAAGGGTGTTTTTATGCTTTAATCTACTTCTGTTGGAATTTTCAAGAAATCGGATATTGGCCTTATGTATTCTTTAGACTGGTTTTTAAATTGTTCCTTAGTTAATCAAACACAGCTTTTGTCTTTTATCTTTATTCCCACTTCCCATTTTCTTTTGATTTACTTTACTTCCTGGTTTCTTAAATTGCATACTTATTTGAGATTTTTTTTTTAATTATAAAGACTATAAGTTTTCCTCTGAATTTTTCTTTTGCTGTGTCTCATTTGTTGTCAAATATTCTTCATTTTGTTAATTTCTAGATCATTTGTAACTGGTTTTTATTTCAATGTTTATTATAAAAAGCTTCCTAGTGTATACACGGTTAACTTTTTATTATGTTTCTAGTTTATTGAATTATGGGCAATAACATCTTGGAAAAAAAGTTTTTTAATGGTCAAGAACATGATCAGTTTGTGGTGTCCCTTGAACCTAAGAGAATAATGTGAAAGGTAGAGTTAGATAACTAAGAGCTTTATTGAGGATCTCATATGTGGCAAGTACTCTTTACAGGAACTATCTCATTTAATCCTCACCACAACCCTATGAGAAAGGAATCTGAAGTACAGAAAGATTGAGTGACTCGCACTATATGCCACCATATATATGTGTATATATATATGAATGACTTGTTTTTATTATTCAGATCCTCAAAAATTTTTTATATCTACTTGATATATCAAAGAGGTATGTTGAATCTTCAGGTATAGTTTTGGTTTTATCAAGCTCTCCTAGTATCTCTAGGAATTTTTGCTTTATGTATTTTATTGTTATATTGCTAACATGTAAAGGTTTATGGCTATCATATTTTCAGAGATTATCGTTACTGAATGTCCCTTTTAATCTCATTTCATCGCTTCTGGTCTGGAAGTGTCATAAATATCGACACTTCTGCTTTCTTTTTCTTTTTTTTAAATGTATTTATTTTATTTTTGGCTGCGTCGGGTCTTCATTGCGCGCGGGCTTTCTCTAGTTGCTGCGAGCGGGGGCTACTCTTCGTTGCAGTGAGCGGGCTTCTCATTGTGGTGGCTTCTCTTGTTGCGTAGCACAGGCGCTATGCGCGCAGGCTTCAGCAGTTGTGGCATGTGGGCTTCAGTATTTGTGGCTCGCGGGCTCGAGAGCGCAGGCTCAGAAGTTGTGGTGCATGGGCTTAGCTGCTCCATGGCATGCGGGATCTTCCTAGACCAGGGCTCGACCCTGTGTCCCCTGTATTGGCAGGCGGATTCTTAACCACTGCGCCACCAGGGAAGGCCCTGCTTTATTTTTCTTTTCTGTCTTTCTTTCTTTTTTTTTTTTTCTTTTTTTTTTTTTTGCGGAGCACAGGCTCCGGACGCACAGGCCCAGCCGCTCCACGGCATGTGGGATCTTCCCGGACTGGGGCACGAACCCGTGTCCCCTGCATCGGCAGGCAGACTCAACCACTGTGCCACCAGGGAAGCCCTCTTTCTTTTTTCTTCCTCTTTCCCCCTCCCTCCCAAGTGAGTGTAT